ATTGCTCATTTAGTTTTACTCTGTATCTAGTTTTAAAAGGAACATTTTGAAGGTAATAATCGACTTATGCGATTTTGTGAAAACGTATAGTGCAGAAGACGGGGTAAACATTTGATGCGCACTTTTCATCGCAGTTTTCTAGTCAATCAAAACCTTTAATCCTTTCCTGACATTGTGTGAAAAGCGCTTGCAGATCGAGTTATTCAAGACGAAGTTGTAGTCGTTTCAATGCGGCTAGGTGTGCCAGACCAAAACTGCCCAGAGCTAGGCTCCTCAATCCCCTGTTTAATAGTCTTTTGATTAAAAACGAAAAATTAAATTAAAATTGCATTTTCCCCGTTTTTATTTTTTAACATGTTATTTTCACATGTGAAAACATCGTTACCATGTATATTTAAGCTATTAGTTTATGTAATATATACAATATGAGTGGGCGTGTGTTGTATCAGATATAGGCGTAGCAGATAGAGGCGTAGCCGAGTGATTGTATATCTGATACAACATGGACGCGAATATTGTATATTACTTATGAAACGTCTAGGTGTATACATTCATGTTCTACTATAATTTTAAAGCTAAAATTGAATCTTGGCTAAGAAAATTGGAGTTAAAGTATATGCAAATCAGGACGATTTTGTATCAGATATACAACCTCCTCCACGGACAATGATTTCTATTGTTTTCCTCATTAATTATTCATGAGTTTTATAAGTAATATATACAGTATGAGTGGTCGTGTTGTATCAGATACAGTCAATTCAAAAAACGTTGTCGTCGACCGGCTCAAGCCTACGCGACTGGACCGAAAGCGAATATGGGTAAAAATCACTGAAGCGGTTAAATATTCGTTCTGAATAAATTGTTCCCTCTAGAAACAATCCATCAAATGCATGTCTTTGGGTTTAGGGAAAGAAAAACAAAGTAGTTATGATTCAGTTCACAATCCCGAAAATACGAAGGCATTAAAAAAAATCTCCTTCAATATTTCCCGCTCGCCTACGAAGGCTCGTGCTGTAAACCAGGCATAACTAGTCAGATAAAATTATGGAGTCAACTCGGCTTCAATGATTGCTACCCAGAGTTCCTTTCGGTCCAGTCGCGTAAGCTTGAATTGGTCGACGACAACATTTTTTGAATTGACTGTATACAACCACGAGGCATAGCCGAGTGATTGTATATCTGATACAACACGGCCACTCATACTGTGTATTACTTATCAAACGTCTAGGTTAGTTCCTTTGTGTTTCACTAATTTTTTCAAAATTAAAGTGAATTTGGTCAAGAAAATCCAACTTAAAGTTTATGCAAATGAACACAGTTTTGCATCAGATTTACAACACTCTTCACGGACGTGAATTCCGTTGTGTTTTCCTCATCAATTATTAATGAGTTTGATAAGAAGCTTGTTAAGTTGATTTTATGGATAATTAATCATGATATAATAAACAGAATATTACATGGGCGCTTGGAGATACGAAAGTTATCTTATCTTCTCGTGTTGAAAAGATTTCACTCGTTCGCTGCGCTCACTTGTGAGAGATCTTTTATCACTCGAAGATAAATTTCGTATCGCCCATGTAATATCTTCTATAGATAAGCATACTATCAGGAATCATTTAAAACCATTTAAAACGGCAAGAACAAGCGTCGCCGAAGGAGAGGTGGGTGGGAACAAAAAGACCGTCTAGCACTGACTGGTACGCGAACCTGATGAGCAAATGAGGTCGACGCTCCTTGGCTTTTCTCGCCTAAATAGGCAACTGCCAACTCGCGGGCATTCATGATGCTTCTCACCTAGGAAACACACTCAGAAAGTCATGCTAACATTCCGCACGCACTCGTTTTATGGCTGCTTTAGGGGTGGAAATAGTAAAACGATCAGTTTGGCATGTTTGAAGGGGTTGCCATTGAAACAACCTCGCTTGTAAAGAACAAAAAAAGAGGATACAGAAAAACCCCAAATTATATATCATTAATAACATTTTTCTAGGCTATCCCCCCGCCCCAACTTTTTCAATGCCATGTGCTCGGCCCTGTGATGGGAGGTAAAAAAAAGCTTAGATGTTGAGATTTTGCTTAATTTTACAGGATTATTTCCCTGAATATTCTTTCTTCGGCTTAGTCGCATACTGTAATAGTTGTGAAGATACGTGAATACGTGTCAGACTTGCAGCACCCAATATTTATATTTGTATTGGTTGCATAAGGTTGTATGGGTTGCAAAAACACGAGAAATTAAATGAATACCTTTCAGACTGCAACAGCAACGATGGCGAAAACAGTGCCTCACTTCCCCACCCCAAATCAGGATAATAGTAATGACTTTCAAGCGTTTCAATGGAAAGCTAYCAAGCTACCTGCAAGAATGGCAAAGCTCTATTCATCGATGCGACGCCTGCGTTCTGCATCCAAGTGCTACCCCGAGTCTCCACCATACCACCTGAAAAGTCATGGTTGCAAGGCCTTTAGTGCATGCTCGTTTTGACTGGACGTGCATGAAGTATTCTTACACAAGTGAATATAATAAAAATTTACGTGTGTTTAGAACACTAACCAATCTCGTACCCAGAGCCTGCGTTTCTTCTAGCCTGCAGCGAAGAACGAGGGCTCTGGCATAATCCATTTTTGATACCAGGATTTCTTGGACTTCCGGTATAAGAGCGCATGGTATGGTTTTAAAGCCTTGCCAAAAATAATAAACATATTTTCCCGATTCCTAATTTTTACTTTGATCGGAAGTAAACCCAGAACTCTGTTTTAAAGCATGATGATTTTCGCTTATTTATATTTCACTTTGGGCAAAATGCATATGCGCCAAAAAATGTATAACGCAGAAACCACGTTCTTCACCGCAGGCCAGAAGAAACGCAGGCTCTGAGTACGAGATCCAATACTAACTGCCTACAAATAATGGTCTGCTTACAATTCGCTGCAAAGCCTTCTTGCTGCAAATATCAGTCTTCTCATGCGCAGTAACGTTGCATTTGTCATCATGGCTCACTTCATGAGCTGTCAGAAAATACTGGACTTGGCATGTTTGACAGACAGCAAAAAAACAGCCAAAACACAAAACAGCCCAAAATAATTTACTATGACAAAACAATTTTTAAACCTGGTTATATCAAAAAATATCGTGATCAATTTGTTAGCGTCTATTGACAAGCAATTATTTACCTCAGACTTTAGAACAGTCTAATTTACTTACCACTGCATGAGTAAACTATAGAACTAAGATCGGATCGTTATTTGTTGGCACTCTGCTGTAGCGTAGTGGTTAACCGCTCGCCTCTCACCGCTGTGTTCTGGGTTCGAGCACCAGCTCAGACTGGATCATAAGTGAGTTGAATGTAGTCGGTTAGTGTGTGTGGAGGGAACCTCACGGAAAATCGCCGGATGGGACTAATTGATGGTTGTAAAATGTTAAATAGTTGGTTAAGTCATTATAACTTTTTCCAGGGATTTTCTCCGGTTGTGCGGTATTTCATTCTCCTCCTACAGCAAAACAAACTAAATAACAAATAATATTGGAATCCAGTGAAAGAAAAGACACCTGGTGGAGCCACTGCTAATTATCTTCTATTTATTCATATAATTTATTTTTTAATCCCTTTCTTCATTAGAAAAAAAAAATGCAGCAAATTGCAATAATTATTATCGTGAATAGCGAAGGCTGTTTTTAACTAAATAACAATGATGCCGAAAGGACCTGGGAACCAGTCAAGATCCGCGCGCGCAAAGACGTAGTTTCTCACTATGACTTCACAAATCTTCCGCGATTTCTCATTTGTATCGTTTTCTTCATTCGAGAAACACTGTTGTTCTGCGCTGCGATAAAAACGTAGGAAATAGTCTTATTAACAAAAGTTGAGTTACGAATTTCAGTCATAAAGGATGGGGTGCGCGTACAGTAAACCAAAAGTTCAAGAAACAGAACCGGTAAGTGTCTGATTCACTTAGATTTGAAGGGCGTAGTTCACCACCAAAAATGACATTGATTTGGTTTGCGCGCAATAAGTCATTTTACCTTTGTGTCACATTGCCATTTTTATAGTGAATCTCATTACACATTATGAAATCAAAACAAATTTTAAAATAATTAAATTACTTGATTTAAATAAAATGTACGTAGCCTTATATACGGAATCCCTCTCAAAACTTTAACAAACAAAATATAGTCGATAGATGCACTTGTTAACTACTACTGGGTTTTCTTGTTTTCAGATTACTATGGATCAACTTCAAAAGGAGTTATTCAAGTTCAACAAAAAAATCCGAGGCTATTTGAGGCGAAAGAGTAAGACTTTAATCAATATTATTACTATGATTCGATTTTGTTATCAATTTATGCAGAAAAACTGACCATAGTATTTCATGGTTGCAGATAACTTCTGTTTAAAAAAAGTCAAACAAAAGAATCCTCAGGCAGAGGAAAGGCCTCAAACAAAGGCACGGGTACCTTGCGATGATAAACTGTGCTCAGCAGGCAAACCTACAAACCAGAGTCCTTCAAATGAAAAACCAAAAACAACAACAAATTCGAAAGAAATCAAGGAGGATGGCGCTGCACGTGTACTGCGCTCTGTGTACTCAAAAACCGAGCCGAACAAAATCCGAAGATCTCTATCACTGAAAGCAATGGCTCCCGCCAAAAGATCTCTACCATTACAAGAAAGAAAATTAAGGTGAATAAAGGCATGCTAATGATTTGGCCTTTTGTATCACTGTATCATGATAACAAACACTAGATTCCAAATGCTATTTACAGCGGTCTAAATCTAGAAATCCTTTTTTAGTAATCCTTAAAGTATCATCGTTAAACTATAGCCTATAGGCCAATCTCCACAACAGYTGTACAAGGGTAGATTTCTTTATTTACAAAAAAATGGACTGGCATAATCCATAGGAGAATCGTTTGCAAGAAATTCCTTCTCACATTCAAAAGCTCCCACATATAGCGTAAAATATACTCAAACTTTTTTCCCTAGTATTCTTATTTTCACTTATGTTGTTCTTATTAGTGAACAAAGCCAAGTTTCCATTGCTGATATTGTGCTAAGTTCACAAAAAAGTGTGCAACATACGTACACGCAAGGGAACCAGATGAGCGTTCTGAAATACTTCCATCGTGATAGACTGTACCATCCAGAAAGACATTATAACTTCATCAGAGAGATTGGTCGAGGAGCTTTCGGACAGGTTTACCTTGCAAGACACAAACAGATATTACAGGTACTGACCTCATGATAGAAAGCGTGAGAAACACAAGTATACGGCCTGTCATAGTTCTACTCTGGCAAAAAAGTGATCAATCATGATTAATATTATCCCTAACATGTTGGTTTTCTTTTTCGCGATCAGGGCGAAGAATATGGCATCAAGACCATCTCGCTTGAACATTCAGACGAGAGAAGCCTGCTCATGGAGCTCGAGGCCCTGCTTACCTTCAAGCACAAAAATATTCTCGCTCTTACGAACAGCTACCTCACCGATGGATTCTTGTACATCGTCACAGAATATGTGGCTGGGATGAGCCTTTACTCGATGATGTCCAACTTTTCAAACGGTTTACCAGAGTACATTGTATCACACATTATGAGAGAATGCCTGCAAGGACTTGCACACTTGCATCAGTCTGGATTTATTCATTGTGACATAAAGACCGAAAACATCTTGATTAGTAACACAGGCCAGGTAAAAATGACTTTTTTTTCTTTCAATGCGTCAAATACTAACACGTCATAAAACTGCTTATATATGCCAAGAATCAATCATTGCCCTTTACCGACTGCAGCAAAAGGGATGGCACTAACGTTATTAATATGTTTGCAGATTAAAATAGCCGACTTCGGACTAGTGGTGAGAACGACGCAACCGATACAACCAGGATTCCGAGGCACGCAAATGTATGCATCGCCAGAAATGGCAAATGAGCTGCCATACGGCAAAGAAGTAAGGAGTTAGTTATTTTTATCTTAGTTAATTTTATATGCTATCAAACCTATGAACTACTGGGATCTGGTGACGGACTTATGTCTGCTTTTCTCTATTTGGTGACTTCACATAGACGATGATTTTACGCTTGAGTGGCCACGAAACAATGGCTTCAAGTCGAGGTTAGACTTAAAGGCCTATTAGCACCTACCGTGATGCACCGCGGTCACAGATGATTTTCGTGGTCCATGAAAACCAAAGATTCATAGTTTTCCTTCGTAGTAATCGGGTACAAAAATCATTGTTTTGCGGCTTTAGGGAAGATTTAAGTATGAGAGTATGTGGACCGCGTGGCACTAATGAAATAGTAGAAGATAATATAGGTGGCACTAATGAAATAGTAGAAGATAATATAGGTGAAGATTTAAGGAAGATTTAAGTGTTTACTCAGAACTTCGAGACTGTTCTTTTCATTTGTTGTGAACTCTTTATTCGACTTCAAGAGATATGACTGCACGAAAACATACGAAGAGAGGCCTGCCCTCAAGGAACGAAAATATTGTAAAAGTGTGGTTTAGAAATTCCACAGATAATCTTTGGAAAGAAAAGAAATCTACTATGGGTTTTACCAAGGCAACGAATAGCGAATTTGCGCCTGCTCGATCAGTGGTCACACACATTTCAAAATAAACCAATCGCGGTGCATCACGGTAAGTGCTAATGGGTCTTTGATAAATACCTGTAGAAAGTAAATGTATGAACACATTGAATCCAACCTCGACTTAAACCCGGGCCGTTTAATAGGAATTCGGAAAAAGTGATGTATCCACGTGCAAGTAATGTGGATATGCATTCATCAGCGACGCACTCAGTGTTTCGATGTGAACAGTACTCAATAATGTTTGATGTGAACAGTATCGTAGTTGTTACTGACCATGGAATTCTTAGTTTCTAAAATACTCCTCAATTCACCTTTCACCTGTCATTTTCTTGCCATAGATCGACATTTGGGGCCTCGGTATAGTTGCCATGGAGTTGTTCCAGGGATATCCACCATTACGGATTGCTGACTGCATGCAATGCTTTGTGAGCATGGCTAAGTCTGGCTACACCATAATGGATAATGAGGCTGCATCCAGGGCTTCAGAAGACTTGATGAACTTCTTGTACAACGGAGCACTGAAATATAATCCTGCAGATCGATTATCTGCTGACGAGCTGCTCACCCATCCTTTTATTTTAAGACATGAGCATTGGGGTGGCTTCTGTGACTGTCTGTCATCATTTATGAAATGGGTGCTGGAGCCAGTATAAAAGCTCAGACTAGATGATGCTGGTTGATACTATAATCATTGCTTTTGAATAATTCCAAAATGAAATTGACGTTTTATTCAAATTTTATTGTCGTGTAAATTATCTTATAAAGATTTAAAAATTACATATTGTCAATCCTGGATTATGTCAGACACGTGTAAATAATATAGATTTAGGCACTGTCCAACAGCGGAGTTCTCATTGTTTAAAATATATAATTTCAAGCTCATACTTCTAATATTTTACATAACGATGTTTGGGTCAAGGGCAAATCCATGGGGAACAAATGGAGACTGAAGCAGTAGACATCCTTAAGAAAAAATAAAATAAAATAAAATAATAAGAATCCTCATTTTGCTGAATTAATAAAAGTCGCTTATAAAAAATAATATATACTGAATATATATATATATATATAATATCTAAGGCTAGATGAAACGAAGAAGAAGTAGAAAAAAGTTCTTTGAATATGGTGGCAATCGAACCCGTAATTTAGTTATGAAAAATACAGAAGAATAAAAATTAGTGCCTTCATGCCATACCCCGAGACATTCGGTGGGTCGTAGTATGGACTTCGGACATGACGGCAATTAAGGCCCTCTACCCTTGGGTGTACGGATTACGCAAGATAGTGTTCTTGCCGAAGCATCAGGCCGGAGAAACTAGTCGACCCCCAGACTATATCTACAGCTAATCCCTTGCACTCTGCCACGCACTGGTATTGATTTGAAGTGGAAAATAATTTAGTCTATCTGTCTTGTTCATGGCTATTGTTGTGTTAATTAAATGAAATCGTGGCCCAATGGAAAAAACGTAGGCTTCCAAAACACTGAGTCAAGCACGTTTCAGTTAGATTAGTACATGGATGGGTGACCTGAATGTATAGTTACCCACAACTCGGTTTTTGAAATTCTTTCTTTTTTTTTTTTTTTTTTATATTTTTTGTTGTTTTTGTTTTTGTTTTTGTTTTGTTTTTGTTTTTGTTTTTGTTTGTTTGTTTGATTTTTGTTTGTTTTGTTTTGTTGTTGTTGTTTTTATTTTAACCTTCACTTTCCTCAGATCACCTTGAAGATTCTCGAATAAATGTAGACCTTATAAATATTTTTTCCACTTATAATACGCCATAGTGTATACCCATTCCTGTTTACCTACAGCACAACGCTTCGAAAAGTCTTTGAACGTGATCAGTCACTAACAAGAGAATATTAACCATGTRTTGGGCTGCCTGTCACCCTACATGTAGCGCGCGCGTCGTAATTAAAAAAAGGCGGGAAATTGAGCGGAAAGGACATTTTGAAACTTTGCCAAATTATTGAAAGTGTAAGCTCATGACCAACAAAGCAAGACTTTAAACCGTTATTTCCACTATTTTAAAGAAAGAATAAGTTTTTGTGGATATGGGCACTATATAAGTTTTTTAATATCATCATCATCATCATCATCACTATTATTATTATTATTTTATTAATATAATAATTTCTCTCAATACTTTTTGATAGAAAAAAAATATGTTACGATGGAAAGAGGGAACAAAAGGGGTCAAGCGCTCTCCTCCTCCCTCTCCCCCTCCCCCTCCCCTATATATTTTCTCGCCTTGGCCCAGTCCCACGCGCTACAACCATAGTAGGGAATGCCTGTTGATTTTCGCGCGCTTTTCTTTTCTTCCCTCACTATCAGTTCATATTTTTTAGTTTTGTCGCTCTAAATTAATTTTTTCTTCATTTTTCCTTTACTATGGACACTTAGATTAATAATATTTGAAAAGGACGTCTACTTTTGCGTGCAAAAATGTCTCTTTTATCGCAGCAAAGTGGAGAGGACAGTTCGTACATTTTGGTGGCCAGGTTGGACAATGCTCGCAATATGTCAAATATTCTTAAGGCTATACACTTCAAAGAGGTAAAAAGAAAGTACAGGAGTTGGATGGGCTTTAAAAGTTTTTTCGTTAACTTTTGCAAGGATATATTAAATTTATAAAAAAATCCACATTTATAAATTTATAACCATATTTATTCATAGATGTATAAATTATGTTGAAGTCCTTATATGAGCTTTTTTTGCTCGCGCTCCAGCTAAAGGTATAGATTCATTTTAGCCACTGTTTCAGTTTAGTTGTATCCATGTAACTTTTCATGCACAACAGTTTAACAAAAAAAACTATACTTTAGGGAATAGTAATAATCTTTATTGAGAATAGCAAGCATCCCAAAGAGATTTACAAAAGGTTCCTCTTATTTAAAGAAGGGCTCTCCTATAAGTCTAAAATGGAAAAATTAAACCCAATACCTGCCCATATGGAATGCAGTTGCACCATCCAACAATTCAACAAGTAACGAAAAATGTTACATTTAACAACCCCTCCCCCCATGTCCAAAGGCTATGCGAACAACCTATGATATAAAGTTTTTTTAAAGTATCTTTCATTTTCTTCTTAAGTATAGAGTGCAACATGTTTTGTTAGTTCTAATGGTATAAAGATGACAGTGGAGGATGCCAAGTGTGTACAGGCCAATGCATTTATCCAATCCAGTGTATTCCAGGAATACACCTTCAAGGAAGAGAGTGCTACATTTAGAGTGAATCTCAATGTTCTAATGGTAAGGAACCCAATGTTAATATTTTGTCTAAAATTATAGATACCCTTGACATTCTCTAGGGTGATCAAAGTCCACAGTAACTCACAGATGGAATTGGTAGCATTTTACATTCTGATTTCTTTTCTTTTCCAGGAATGTTTGAATATTTTTGGGATGTCTAAAGATTCTGGAATGTGCGCAGCATTGAAATTATGCTACAAGGGCTATGGCTTCCCATTGGTGCTCATGTAAGTAGAGATCAGTGCGGTCAAAGGGTTCTTTGTTGATGTTCCCAATGATTTTGTGCTCAATTAGGAAATGACTATGTAATCTCCAACTAGTAATAGCAGATGAAACCAGCCTTTCAGCAAGTTTGCATTTTCGCAAAAATGTCAAAAATGTAGCTGTCTAACCTCTGATGTGGCAGATACCATTATCATTAAAGAGAAGTAAATATCTAACAAACAATATTATTTTTTCAAACTCTTCTAGGCTTGAAGAGGGTGGTGTTCTGACTGACTGCAGCATTCAAACAGAAGAACCAGATGAAATTCTAGACTTTGATTTTAGCAGTGCAAATGTGCTAAACAAGATCATTATGAAGGTGTGTTCATAGTTTTTTGTTAAGGGGGTCCTTGGGCTTCTATAAATAAATACTGTGATAATTTCAAACTTTGACTTTGTTTAAATGTTATTATAATCCAGTCCGAGTGCCTACGAGAGGCATTTAATGAACTGGACATGACAAGTGAYGTTCTGCAGATATTGATGTCTCCTGATAATCCATATTTCCGACTCTCAACTTTTGGTCATGCAGGCAGTACACATGTAAGGAATCTTGGTCATATTTATTTCTGTTTGTTCATTTATGCATTATTCAATTGATATATTTACTAGAAGAGATAAGTAGCTAAAAACTAGTTTGAGTTGGTTTCTGTGAGTTGCGTCGATGTTTCTAATGAAACAGTAATGATAAAAGGGTAAATTATACACTGTGAGAAGATGAAAATTTGACTAACTCTTAGTCCCAATGGGATTGCTGTCGTTTGCATTGCTAGGTGGCTACCCCAGACAAAAATTGCAACGTGCACTTTGTAATAGACTGCCATCAATCAAATACGTTGATGTCTGCATTTACACACGTGTGATTCAAAAGGTGCCAAAACTTGTCGATTGTTTACAAGTATTATGAGCCACACTCACTGGGCCGATCTAAATGCGTGTAAATGACGTCAAAGTATTTGATTGACGCAAGTCTATTGCAAAGTGCACGTTGCGATTTTTGTCTGGGGTGGCCGCGTAGCAATGCAAACGACGGTAATGAACGCTTTGCTTTTAACTAACAAGTTCTTTTGTCTTTTGATTGTTTTTTTTTTTTTTCATTTCCTTGCCCACCTTGATCTTATTGGTTGCTTTTGTCTTATTCTCATTATACAAACATTCCTTTCTACCACCTCTTTCTCTTTTACTCCGCGAAGAACTAGCGTCCGAAATGTCAGTTTTTTCATCTTTTCATGGTGTATAACTTACCCTTTTATCATTACTATTTATTTAGTATGTTAATATTTTGTTTATCTTTGATTTTTAATAACACATAATAAATTCCAACTTATTTTTTTCATGCCACAGTCAGATTTCCCAAAGGATTCGGACATGGTTGAATCCTTTGAATGTGAACAAACTCAGACAAATAGGTAAAGCAATATCACCTGTTTAATATTGACTTTGGTATTTACTGTATACTTCTCTCTCACAATCTCCATTTGACATCACCCCTCCCCAAGGAATGGTCAGTGGTCAACAAGACAGGACCTTTTCTTCAATTTTCAATTTTCCAGTTGTCCCTGTATTAGCTCCATCTTTTACCATGATATTTAATAATGAAATGCTCAAATTTTAACATTCCCAGTTTTTAGAACTTGAAACTTTGAACCCAATGCATTTTTTGGTGCCCACATTAAAGTTAAAATATAGTCTTTTTTCTGCTACGACTCTCTCATGGAGTATTTTTTGAATGTGTAGGAAATGACATTGAAACAACTACAATATGATATAGCTGCACACAGCTAGTACRTTGAAGGTCAATGCTACAAATTCATTACAAATTTCTTTCTCATCCAAACTAATATTGCCCTAGCCAAAAAAAGAAAAATGTTTTTTCAATTTATTTATATCAATTTAATTTCTTTTCTTTTCTTTTCTTTTTTTAAAATTTAATTTCGTTGATGCTGTTTTTGTTTTTCACAAAGGTACAAAATCAATCTTGTGAAGCCTTCCACAAAAGCCTTGCACTTATCTTCGAAGATTTCAATAAGAATGGATGACAGAGGGTTTTTGTCTTTACAGTACATGATAATTAATGAAGACAGTCGAGTTTGCTTTGTAGAATATTTGGTAAGAGATGCAATCGTATCTATGAATTTACTCAAAAATTCAATYACTAAACATACCTTCCTTAAGGCATATCAGGGTACTCCAAAATTGGTATGTAATATTTCACAGCCGACAGTGAGGACTAGACAGGATTTCAAGTCCAAGTAATTAGTTGCAGTCTGAGTCAGAGGACTGGAACTAATTGCGTGGACTTGAAATCCTGTCCAGTCCGATATTGGAGGCTTTGAAATGACTTCTCATGCTCATTATTATTCGACTTGGAGAAACTGGAACAAAATTAATTCAGTCCTAGGACTGAACTAATTTTGTTCCAGTTACTACAGAATGAATTCAGTCCCTTCACATGACTTTACCAGGTTTCTAGTAACATCATGTGACCCAAAAATAGCCCATTGATTGGCTGGTTTCCTCATGAATTATTAATGAATATGAGAAGAAAGATTTAGTTTTTTTTTTTTAGTTTCCGGTTGAATACACAATAAGCTAATCATTTTCCAAATGCAGCATTTTTAATAGCAAGAAATAATTAACATTGCATTTTCATTATTACATGTGGAGAAAGGTAAAACACAAAAACTGTTTACCAGATGCCTTGTAGAATGACTGTTTGTCATTGTAGGTAGATATCCCACTGTTACTCTATAACCGTCACCTGGCTGGCAGTTTCTAAAGCAAAGATCCTACCTTACCACCGACAAATGGCTGAGTCTCAGCCTTGCACCTGCTATTATATATTAACTATTTTCCCCCTTTCTTTCATTTTAGTGTGCGCCTGACGAGGAAGTTGATGATTTTGATGAAAATGATAGCGAGACAGTTTGAAGAAACACTGCACTGTTACTCATAATAATATCATAATGGCTACTAAATTTAGAAATGTTGTATATTTTTATTGACATTAAAAATTTTTTTACTCAGAATACATTTAATATTAAAATGCTTAGTTCCAGAAATTATCCATCAGGTCCCTTAACCCCCGAAATTCTAATTTCTTCCATACAAACCTCTAGATCTTCTTTTGGAAATTCCAAAATTCCTCTGCAGGGAGGGCAGTTATTTCTGGAACTACACAATTAATGTATGAAATGTGTTGGAGTATTTCTAATTCTATTTATCAATTCCTAGGAGAGAGAAAGAAGGGAGTGTCTTTATTTGTGGACTTTTTATAGGTCTGGAGAAGACTTTTCCTCAAATCTTCTTGAGTACCATGAAACAATGGTTCCAAGTTGAGGTTCGACATGATGTGTTCATAAATTTACTCTATTTTATCTTGTCCAACCTCGACTTGGAGTACTGCTTCATGATGCATCGGATCCAGTTGATATGGAATAGTGACCTACATGTACATAGAAATAATGTTACTGCAAGACTGAGGTGTCTTGAATGTGGTGAAAATTCACCAGCGAAAAATAAAAACATCATTGCCACACTATCATAATAACGATATTGAAATGATATGTAACTAACAAAAAGATGTTAACCCTCAGTGTTACAATAACCAATCAAAATCCAGGAAGATCATGGTCCAAAATCCCAGGTGTCTGTCCTAATCTTTGAATTCATACTAAAGACCATAATTCTTAGAGATTACAGTGTCATTGATCGATCTACTTTTCAGCATTTTTTGAAGCCATAAAAGCATTCCAACCAAGAGCAATGGCATTGGCAAACAAAACCCGATACTGAAAAATAAACCATTAAAAAAAAAAGATTACAATTATATTATTTCATGTTATAAGCACACTAGTTTCCCTCGCAACAGTTTTTAGTGTCGGTCGTCACGCAACGCACCCTCCCCACAAATGGCGTCGGGTGACGACCGACACTAAAAACGGATGTGAGGGAGACTATAAGCACACAGACTTCACAATTACAGGGGGTCTATATTTGTAAATAATTTTTAATTGGCTGGGACAAACTTCACTGAAAGACTATGCTGTACCCTGGGAAATCAAGGTGTTGTGTTTTACCTTATACCTTTTGTTGATGAGCTATGATTTTGGCTATGATTAAATGGTGGTTAGGAATGGGGACCCCAGAAGTGAGAGTCCAGTGCACAACTTATAGGAACTCCATGCGTAATTCCCTTTTATTTACCAAGGTTAATAGCAAACTACCCTAATTTTCTTTCTTCCTTCCTAATTTTTGCACCTGTGAGATCTTGTAAAAGAATCATCAGAGAAGAAGAATAGATAACTATGTTGCATTGTAGGAAGGTCCCTTGGTTTTTATAAACCCCTTAGCTTGTAGCACTTTGGAATGCAGCTCAATCTGGGGGACAAAAAAATAGGTTCCAATTCTCAGGAGATTAGAATTCCTTTGTTTTGTCCCCGAGATTGAGCTGTTTTGACGTCATATGCAAGGGGTCTATTGCCACAGGAAATTACCTTTTTGTTTGCTTATTTACTACAATTAGTGGCAAGTTTGCTTTACCTACCTCTACTGGAACATAATTGAAGTTCACATACTGTGCAATAACCCAAACTCTTAAACTCATTTTAAATGCTATCCAGAAATTATCATGAACTTTCTTGACTGCTGCACTACATGACTTTCCCTGCAAATGAAATAAGAAATGATTAGAGAGAGATTTAATTAATTGACCAGGAGTGGTTTGTCAAACTTAAATTTATCCCATTTTCATTAAATTATGCCACCCAAAACCACTAGGCCTACATGTATAATCCTGGTTAATGTCTGGAATGTTGTTTTCTGTCAATCAAATATCCAACAGTCTGAGTTAGTAATATCTTACTTGATGGAGGCCAAGTATCCAAATCTTGGGCTGAGTTGGGCACTTAAGGACGTTTGAGGGCATTGTTCGCATGCAGCCTATCTATGCATGAGTTTAGTGTGCGAGTGTTATTTGAATGTTTTGATGGGCAAATTATTAAGAAAACCTATTTTTCACTTCTTTTTGGCAAAATATCTCGGAAACCAATTCGGTGACTCCCATTTTTCTTAAAGTCTTAAAATTGAAATACACCACAGAAATCTACAACATATTTTATGTGAAGGAAAAAAATTCTGATTGCAGGGAATGAATGACATCAAATTTACAAAAAAACATGTTAACGAAATCAAATTGTATGCATGCACTTTGACTGCATCGCACGGATTGAAAGTTATCACTACAGATGTAACTCTTACTTACATGCTTTTGAATCACAAATGTCAAAGAAAGCTATACTTGATGGCCATGAATTTTTTCCTGCATTTCTTAGATGTTTTTTTTTCGAAGCGTTTCTTCGATTCCTTAGGTTACTCAATAGTGTATATGTGTTTTTTCCTCAATAAATCAACATTATTTCCTCAGCGTTTATCAAAAGACGAATTTGGTGACCCACAAATATTATTTCATTTTTTGAACACCAAGTATAAAAAAGTTCTGATTACAACTTCATTTGCCCGCAAATGTCCTTAATTATGAAAATGGGCATAAAAATATGAGGTGGAGCCAGAATAAATAGCGGCACATGTCATACCTCCAGTAATGAGATGATGTAAAAAAACAGCACATAAAAAATAGGAGAAAAAACTAGTCTATCCAGAGCTAATTTTTTTGCTTGAGCGTGACTTGTGCCTTTAGGTAAGTATTCTTCAAGGAATTGGTAAAAGTAATGTACCAGTGGACCTGTTACAGCAAACCTAAAATATGTGCAACATTAAAAGTTAAATCAGTCCCCAGGGGGTGTACTCGGGTGGGTAACATGACGGGGGGCTCCAACAGAGCTTCATATTGCAACCCCCAAAAAATACTCAAACCTGAAATTTTACACCCAAAAAAATACATGACATCCAAATTTCTGGCCCAAAAAAATACAAGACTTAAATACTTCAAAACTGGAGAGCCTTCTAATGATCCACGAAGCCATTGGCGTGTGGGAGGAGGAATTGATGTCCCCGTTGAGGTCACATTCAAGACGAGCAGAATCCAAGCCAAAGAGATCAAGCGAGCTCTTAAGCATAAGGGCTTAACATGTGCATAAGTAATATGATGAAGTGATAAAGGGACGTGAACGATTGACGTGTAATAAATTAATATGGAACCAAGGAAAAGTAAACGACATTACATATTATAAATAACGTTGTATTGTTTTCTTTTATTGTTATCAGTATGTTTCTTTTGGGAACTCACTCAAAAAAATCAAACAAATAATTTTCTGATACAAAAATCGAACTTGGAGAAGTGACGACCCAAAAAAATACAGGTTTCATTTCGAGACCTAAAAAAATATGTGGCTGGTCTCTTGACCCAAAAAAATACCGGGAATGAAAATTGTCAACCCAAAAAAATACGTCGGACCTCCCCGTCATGTTACCCACCCAAGTACACCCCCTGGGAATCAGTCCATCTGTTCAATGTTGGATGGTTACTCACAAAACTAAGTGTCTCAAGATTATATCACAGTATCTGTTATGATTCACATATGCACAAGACTAACACCCTTATAAGGTCATTCTCTTGAGACTCGACTGAATAGAGTTTAGTTTTTTTATCTTGGATACACAGAGAATGAGAATGAGTTTAAAACTTTCCCCTCTGTGCTCGGCATTTCAAATTTGCTCAATATAGACCTCTTGCATGTGACGTCAAAAGCAACTCAATCTTGGGGACAAAACAAAAGAATACTAATCTCATGAGAATTAGAACCTATTGTTTTGTCCCCCAGATGGAGATGCATTCCAAAGTGCTTCAAGGAGTCTATTATTCATGCAAATTGTTGAAAAAACTGTAAGTATATATCATGTAGTTGGAAAACAGGGAAGAGGGACCATTGGCAGTCTTTGCTTGACAAGGAAGTATGTGCAAACCAATATTTATTTTTATTACTTTAATTATGCTGTTTTACTGATTTTTATCTCTTACCCAAAGGTAGAAAAAGCTGCAACAGCTCTCACATCCACCCCTTTGCCTTGACTAATCCTTGACTTCTGGGAGAGAAGTTGACCCAATCCTGATGTAATTGCACTAAGAAAGAAAACGAATTTCTGATATTGCACACACAAGAAAAATAAAACGCTGAAATTTGTTGGTCATCCTGTGTTTTAGTTTGAGGGGAAGGGGGGGGGGGGGTAGGGATCAGACATTGAGTGAGAAGTTATTTATGAAATTGAACACGTATGGTTTTTAGTAATTATGCAAAGAGCCGATGGGCATAAAAGTTGTAATTACTAAATAGAATCTAGAACGCATCTGAGGACAATGAACAAAACATGCATAACCTTAAGGAGTTATTACTTTCCCAACAAAATTAAATTGTAATACCCTCCCTTACATATTTCATGAACTATCCTAAAAAAACACTAGAATTTTTAGAAAAAAGACTCACTTTTCGCAACATCAAATGCAGCACAAATCTTATTGCGAAACAAGCGCTAAAAATAAAAATAAAACCCGTCTTCCAGAGTACCTGGTAATGGATTTTGTCAGCACTGGACGAGTCCTTAGGTAATAATTGTACTGTGCTAGTAACTGTGAGAAAAAACCTTTTGATTTCTTCTTGCTAGACTCATGATCTTTATCGCTGGTCCTGCTTGTGTGAATCGACTCTCGACTGTCCGCCATTTTTGTTTCTTGTGTGTAATGTTGTGTTGCGGGTGGGCTTCCTGTGCTAGTTCGATTCTCCACAGGTAGCCCATAGAAAATGCATAGACCATATAATAAAAATCAGCTCATTTCATTCAGGTTTAGATGACACTAAATTAAGCCATGGGGCTGTTCAATATAGCAACAACACACAGTGAGAGTTTTATTTCATTTTATTGATTTTAAAGTAGAAAAATGAGGATTCAAAAATACCCATATAATACCACTATTATTTTTGTCTGTCTGTCTGTCTCTTGATCGGTTCAGTTATTCCATTGTCAACTATGAACCTTGGCTACCTGTGGTGTACGTACAATATAAATATAGTTGTAGTCTTTGTTTTTTAATGAGTCTTATATAATAATGTGACGGTAAATCGTTGACTTCGGTCATGGCTCGAGGAGCAGCAGCTTGTTTATCATTCATTCGAGCACAATTACTTTTATTTACACTTCGATTGTACCGCCCCATTAAATATGCTTTGTGGCAGCTTTGACTCGATCGCCGTTCGTAACCGTATCCATTCAAGAATGGTAATTTTCACCACGCCGCTCGCTACGACCACTGCAATGGTGATCAACAAACCTTTGAACTAATACTCATGTTCATATTTATTCCGTTTGTTTTATTTTAAATTCAATATCAACTAAATTGATTCCCAAGGCCGAGGATTGCCGTATTGATATACTATAGCTGTTCATTCATGAGCATACAAGGTTCAAAGTCCGTACGTATCACTCACTGACATGGCGGTCTCTAAAGATACCCCAAAAGGCACAGAAAATACGTCAGCAAGCCAGAAGACTTATGAATTCGATGATCTGTTGGAACTAGTCGGAGGGTTTGGACGCTACACGGCATTTCTGTACGCCTTCATGTGTATGCTCTCTGTTCCAACAGGAGCCCAGAATCTCATTCAAGTGTTCTATGGTGCTACACCAGACTTCCAATGTGTGCAGCACCTATCAAGAGATAATAATACATGTGGGCTGAATCAGTGTTGTTTAAACTGTTCTGGTTATCAATTTAGAGATACGTTTACCAGTGCTGTCACCGAGGTGAGTTTACTAATGGTAAAATTTGCAAAAATTACGAACGTTCGATGACAATCAATCGAACACAAATTGTTTGTTTTTGAGTTGATAAAATGTTCAATTATAATAGAATTTTTTTAATATTGAAAATTTCAACTGTTACATAAAAGGGTTCAATGTTTAATACATTTGATCACCGTGACTACTTTTGTAGCTCTATAAAATACGCATAGCTGTGTATCCCGTATCATATACCGTAACTAATCAGATTAAATTACAATAAAAATCTTCAAGGGTAATCGAATTTCTTTTGTTAATTCTTGAGGGGTGGACAGAGCAAAGTAAAAATCTTCAGGGGTATTGGAATTTCTTTTGTTGGGGTGTACAAAGCAAGGTAAAAATAAATTCTTCAGGGGTAATTAGGAAATAAATATCTTCAGGGTGTCCATGTACGTAGAAATAAAAGAGCTCAATCCTCGACTAGGGGGGTGCGCCCATTAAATAGAACGCCCAATGCAGACATCCCCAATGCATCAACAACAAATTTACAATCGAACGTATAATTAAACCGAACGCTCTATTATTGTTATATCGATTACCTTTGATTGCCAATCAGTTTAGCTAATTCGAAAGTCAACTTAACTCAAAGGCCATTTAATTTTGTAAAGCAAACTTGTATCATCTCTCCCTGATTACGAGAATACTTGACCGGTCCTTTGCTATTTGTTTTAGTGGAATCTTGTTTGTGATCGATCGCATCTCAAAGCCATGACACAAGCCGTCTACATGGCTGGTCTACTGGTTGGATCAGTGGCCTTCAGTATTATCTCGGATAAATTCGGACGACGGATCTCCGTGTTCGTCAGCATCTTGCTCTTGGTAAGCTTGATTTTTTTTTTTAACAGCATCTACCTTTTTACTCGGGCTACTCGCAGGGTAAGCCCGAGTGTAGGTTTACCTTTTTGCCGATCTGTCGTGCAACGTTTTGGAAATCACAGCTAGCCCAGCGATCACGTGGTTGCTACAGGTAGTTGAAGAGCTGTCACGTGGTTTCAAATTACCCAGAAGCCTTTTCTTATAATTACTTCGATGCCAAGTGACAGGAAGAAGCATTTTTGTGGCTACTTAACACATGACGTCATCAATCACGTGACTATAAAAACTGTAATAACTCTATAAATATTTGACCACCGTCAGTCAAACTTGGACAGACATACATTGCCGGACATTGCTTACACACGGGTGCCAATCATGTGACTAAATTTTATTTTTAGTTTTAAAAAACTGTTATAACTCTAGAAAAATTTGACCACTGTCAGACATACATTGCCGGACATTGCTTACTCACAATGCCAATCATGTGACATATGACGTCATCAGCCACGTGATCACAAAAAGAAAACCTGTTGTAACTTTACAAATATTTGACCATTGTCAGACATACACTGCCGGGCCAGCTCTCAAAGCTTGTATGGTCCTCCTGTGACGCCGTTTGGTTAAAAAAATAATAGTAGTCACATGCAGGCTTTGCTTCCRTTTTTTTAAAGAAGTCCCAAAAAACAGTCTGTATCAGTTACTTCTATTGTAGCCCGAGTACGCACTCTCAGAGCGTCTAGTT